AAGAAACTCAACCCATCTTTGCAACTCCACTTGCACAATCCATTGGTGTTACTTACTAGTTGGCAGAAAGGACATAAGGCACATTTTGAAAGATGTTTTCACATTTTATTCATTCATTCAAGTTCTACAGTAGCATTCAAGGTACCTCATCTCTACCCATGTTTACAAGGGCAAGAATATTTCTCTGGAGAAAAAAATTCTTTCCTAGCACAGGAATTAATCTGGGTTGGACTCCAGAAGTTTCTTCCAGTGCTCAGGAATCAGTCAGGACAGTATATATTTGCAACAGTCACACTGTCCTGCAAGCAAGGAGGAGTTGGTCCTAGGCTGTCTCTAAACCTCTCTCCCTGGGAAAGTCATCCAAACAAGTCTTACTTTGAATTTTCTGTTACATCCACAACTTCTGACGTTCCAAGTGCAAGAAGTAGCCAAAAGGCTACTAGATCTCGCTCTGAAAAACTGTCAAAAAGAATGCTGAAGCTGCAAATACTCAAACATTAGGAAATGCCATAATTAAGACTGCCTGCACAATAGCCATTACTTCTTCCTGACACTCCATGAGAGAAGGGTAACTAACTTGTACTATGGTTTAGCCTATGAAATTCTTGTCTCTCTTCAGTTCCTCTGCAGCTGACTGCAGAGCACTGCCAAGATTATACAGCACTTCACAAACCAGTGAGACTGAAAGGGCACCAGACCTTTGTAGCTCCCACACCATCAGGATGTACAGTGGCACAGCACCTGTGTAAGGTCTGCATTGCTTTCATCTAAGTAGCACTGCACTACAAAACCAAACCAAACCAAACCAAACCAACAGCCCAAATGAAACAGAGAGCAACAACAAAAACAATGGAAAAACAAAATTAGGAAAGTTTACAACAGTCACTTTCCTTCCTAATAGCTAGGGCTCTTGCTTTTAGTAATCCTGCTCTCACTGCATGTCAGTGACGCACTGTCCCAGCCTGCTGCATCCTCAGAAATATACTTGGAAATGAATAAATTAATTATCATGCTTTGTTGATAAATGTCTCTAAGATTACATATACCAACTGGTTTTACTTTGGGATGTCTTGGATGATTAGGTATTACTAGCAGGAAGAGAAAGTGAATTTTTACAATTCATCGTAATGCAGAGTGATAGTGTTTAAATTAACTCAGTTAATGCGCACAAATGGTGAATTAAGGACCAAAATTCAAATAAAGTAATGGTGAGATCAAGCAGGTAGAGGCAGGTGTTTACAGAGAACCTTTTTGCAAGCGGTTGGTTTTGGGGAAAATCAGTTTTCCTTTTTCCAGTATCTTCATTAGATGTGAGCAGTACCTCTCCATGCAAGTTGCTCATTATTATCTGACAAATACTATCCAAGAGCTCACAGGCAGAGATGGCAGGTGTTTGGTCAGCCCAGAAAACCTCCTTTTCTAATGGAAGTTTTAGACTGTAGGAGTGGGAAGAAAATACAGGGAAAGAACTCAACAGAAACAGTCATACCTGCCATCTACAACTTGGCTTTTATTCAGTCTTCAAGCTCTTTTGAAAAGTGAATGTCAGGGCTGATTAGGCCCAGAGAGATAAAGCAAGTTCCTGAGAGTCACAGACAAGCTATGAACAGATCTAGGAACAGAATTTGAAGTTCTCAAGTTTCATTCCAATACTTTGTCTACGCAACCTAAACAGCTCATCAGTCTTCAGGTCCCAAAACCACAGACAACAGCAGGAGGCAAAAACCTACCAAAGTTATTTATAATGCACATTAGCAAAGTTCTCTTTTCCCAAACTGAACAGAAACACAGAATGGGAACTTCATTTGCTCCCATTTCTCAGTCCCATGTTCACTCCAGCTCTGTGCTCCAAGCCACGCTCTCCCTCTCTCAGTGCTTGCCTGGACATACAGTGTTCGTGTAACTCTCTTTCCTCAGAGAAATTCTGATGCCAGTGACCAAGTAACAGCTCCTGAGATGAAGCTCTTGAAAGACCAGGGAGTGCAGGAGAGGAAGGAACAGTTAAGTTGAGAAATCCAAATTAGCATCTCCACTGGAAAATAAACCAAAACAACAAGAACAAAATAACAAACCCACAAAAAAAAGCCAAAACCTGCTTAGCAATGTCTGCTCTGTTTAGCTTGACACCAGGCCAGGCAGCAAGCACATTAGCATGCCAAGCAATACATGCACAGCTTGGAACCAGGCAGTGTTTTCTAATACATGCTGAGCCTGTCTCTGCAACAGACAAAAAACGAGCCCTGGTTTTACAGCAGAGCACATGACACACACCCTGGGCAGAGGGGAGCCAGGAACCCTTTCCACCCTGTGAACACCACGTTCATCATTTGCTTCACACCTTTCTGAAGATGCTGTTCTTTCCCTGTTCTCTTCAGCTGCTGCATTTGCTTCCCACTCCTATGGCCTGAAACCTTCATTACAAAAGTAGGTTTCCTCATCTGTCCAAAACAACCAAACTTAATATCTGTCATCTTAACTGGTGAGCTCTTGCAATAGTATTTGTGTCAGAGGAGATCGAGCAAGATTTATGCGAAGAGCTGCTGCTCATGTATACTGAAAGTATTAAAATACACAATACCGAAAGAGCTTCCTTGCTTTTCCCTTCCTTGTAAGCTTCCACACAAGCTTTTGTGAAATAACTTCACCTCATCCTACTTTCGGCACACCCACAGGTCTCACCAAGCAGCAGGAAAACACACTGTCTGCAGTGTCCAAAGGGTAAGGCTCAGGTTAACCCTCTTGGTGGGCCAAGCCTTACTCAGCAGGAGTTTTTTCTTTTTGTTTTCTTTTTTTTAAGTTGCATCATAATCACCCTTATTAATAGGCAACCTCAAGGCTTAAGTCATTTTAATTCTGGTAGTCTTAAGTGTGTAAATCATACCCTCATTGATAGCATGGGTGCATCAACAGCTTTCAGGGGTTGCAAAGCTTACAAACTTAACAAATTATTCTATGCTCAAGCAAGAAATAGAATAGTGCTTGCTTTTTATTAAGCAGATGGGAACAGCTGGACAAAACGAGTTCAAAAAAAACATATGAAGAATTGAAATTCTGATGCACATAAGAGGCAAGTCAAGTTAGATAATTTCATCAGGTAACTCACTTTAAAGTCTCAAATAGCATCAAAATCTGAAAAACTGGGTGGATAAATGACTGCTCAATAGCATAACTCAGTAACACAGTGATTTTTGGTAAGCATATCAACATGTCTGAATTGACTGATAAAACCATAAAATTTATTGAATTTCGAATTGCTTCTCTCGTTTTTTTGTCTTTTTAACTCTGCAAGTATGAGATTCATAGAACCATGCTGCTGAAAATGATGTTTATTAAACTTTTCTGTTTCCATTTCTCTGCCCCAAAACCTAAACAAATGGATAAAAAAGGTACACAGGCATGGTCCTTGCCCTCTGATTGCTGCTCCACTTCCACACTTTCAGGAAAAGCATCTGCACATGCAGCCCACTGAAGCAGAAGAGCTGCATGAAACTGCACAGAGCAGTCAAGTGGTGGTTGCTCAGAAAAGTAAGGCGAGAAAATGCTGCAATGTCGCTGCTGCTCTGCAGCCTCCTGAAACTGCCCGTGTTTCCCATATGCAGCTGAAATTATTACAATCCACTAGAGAAAAAAAAAAAAAGACAAATTCTCATCTACATATTTTTCAAGACTGAATGATGCAAGATTGCATTTAGCACATTTTCTTTAACTAACCCCACAAACACAAAAAAAAATGAACTCATCAGAAAACTAACTGAAATTAGTATCCACACCTGTAACACAGTTTCTTGAAGTTTAATGCAGTTCTTAAGAAGCCCATGGACAGTGTTAAACCTTTGTATTTCATTATCATAATGTACACTAAGTGCAATCAATAACCTTGACCTTGCTGAAACTTTTTGAGCTGAAAACTTCAGACTGGAAAATTCAGCAAGCCTGCTCAGGGAAATTATGATAAAATCTGCAAACAGACAACTTGTGCAATTGTATGGATTCCCTTAATCTCCTATACAGACTTGAAGATATAACTCAGCATTAGCTGAGTTCTTGAACCAAGTGTCAAAAGTCAAAATCTAATATATCAGCAAGTATGAAAAGTAAGTCTCTTAAGTTCACGTTTGCTACACATTAGTACAAACCTCTCCTGAAACTTATGAGGTCCACAAATCAGCAAAAATTGCCCCTTTCTTAAGTTCATTTGCTCTTTTCCACAGATCAAGTAGAACCTGTGCATTGTTTCACTTCCAAAATTTGCACAAGAAGAGTCTAAAACTTAGCACAAAAAAATAAAATAAAAGAAAAATTAGAAAGCAGTGAAAAATCTGCTGGAGAAAAAGATAACCTCTCACTAGCGTTCCACATAACTTAACCTTGAATACAGTAAAAGAAGAAAGTAAATACTCACCTAATTATTAAATTGCCTTTTTTTTGTAATTAAAGACATTAATTTAGCTTGATGCTGCATGAATTCAGTTCTTTTTCACCTCAGAGACCATATTCTAACACACAGGTATTGTGCAGATGTTTCTTCTTCTTCTATAAAGAAACTACATAATAATTATAGTATTTCAGAACAGCAAGAAGTAATGCATTTTAACATTTAACTACAGGAAACTGCCTGAGGTGTTACCATTATGCAAGACACTTTATAACCTTGGATAACTGTTCAATAATTGGCACTTAGACCCAGTATCAAGACTAAGAAGGAAACAAAATTCTAAGTGAAAAAAGAGACAGATCTCAATTACGGATCTTAAAAAAAGAGTGGGTGGGGCTTGACTAACCACCAAGGATCACATATTTTGGTTTCCTAAGGACTTCAGCTTGGGAAAACTGTAGATTGTCTGAGAGAGATGGGCACAGCAGGCATATATTCTTAGAGACAGTTTGGAGTCAGTAGAATAAACTCATCTACACAAATCCAAATTTTCAGAGGAAGTCATACTCTAAAAAAAAGACCAAAAAAAAGGCAAAACCCAGGGAGAAGTTACAATTTTGACAAGATGTTGGGGATTTCTGAGATTTTTATGACTCTAGTAGTATGTCTCCTGATTTGGCAGTTCCTAAAGCTGCAATGGGTGCGTACCCAGCTTCCTCCAGGACCAGTTCCTCTCCCCATCATTGGAAATTTGTGGCTGTTGGACTTCAAACTTCGTCGAGAAACCCTCACTAAGGTATTTATTTATCTCTATGGTTGAAAATCAGTCTGAATCTATTTTAACTTACATTGTGCTTTGCATAGGAACAGTCTAAATTGCTATTTTTTTTTAAACCTCAAGCTTGATTATTAGCCAATTTCACAGACTCCAAGAACCCTGCATTATTAAAAATATTTCTGAATAATAAACACCACAATAGCTTTACTCCTTGTTATTTTCTCACTCTTTTGGTTACATTATCACAAGCACTGTCATAGAATGCTATTTCATTGATAGTTTCATTTTGTTTCTGTGTTGATATCCAGCCCTGTAAGTCACCTCTAGTAGACCTTCCTTCGCATGACACCAATGTCACTGGAACATCTCCAGGCCACAAGTGGTCCCGTCTCCTCTAGAAGACCAAACATATACTCTAAATGGACTCTTTTTTTTCTTATTTGTAGAGCAAAAAGACTTGTCTGCAGTAAACAGATTACTAAAACAAAGCAGGAAAATCTGATTGCTGTTATGTTCACAGCATGGCTGCTTTATAAACCATTTAAAACTTCTTTAAAAAAGTAAGGAACTTGCTTCAAAATATTTCAAGAAAAAATACAATCATAATCTGCAGAAAGAGAATAGAGAAAAATAAGAAAAATCATGTGGAAGCTCAGAAAAGAATGCAAAAAAATTTTTTTTTGTTTTCATTGGAAATTAGAGGCAGGAAACCTATCATAACTTTGCTTCATTAATGAAATAAACAGAAAAGCTCTGGGATTTTGCCTGTTTTCATTTGTTCTTTGACTCAGAGCTAACAGAGTATACCTGCAGTTTCTCTTTCTGTGAAGTTTTCAGAGGTGTTCTTCTGAGGGATGTCCTTAATATCTATTCCACAAAGAACAATTATCTTCTGTTCCCAAAGCAAATTAGTAACAGAAGGATAAATATTTCCAAAGCCTGCAATTCAATTCAGTATAGGCAAATGGGTTTAGTAACAACTACAGAAAACTTTTGAATAAATCAGTATTTGAGTGTATGCTTTCCCTGGTTTACAGTTCCTAATTTCCTGTTATTAACTCTTCAGTTAACCAATATCTACGGAAACATCTACACACTGTGGATGGGACAGACACCTATGGTTGTACTGAATGGATACAAAGCAGTAAAAGATGGCCTTGTCACCCACTCAGAGGAAGTTTCTGGAAGACCTCTCACTCCATTCTACAGGGATATGATGGGCGAGAAAGGTACAAGGTGTTAAACCAGACTGAAATAGGAACAAGGTGTAAAGAAGAAAGATGCTTTCCTGTGCATACACTCACACGTCAGTTACTGCTGTACAAGGGCACAACTGGGCTTTCATTGCAAAAAGGTTCCATGCAGAGCTAAGCATGTTAAGGAAGGGAAAAGAACCCAAAAATTTCCTCTCTTATAAAGCATGCCACTGACTTTTTTCCTTCCCAACAGATCCAAAGGAATATTAGCCTGGAGAAGTTGCCCTTCAATTGTATCACTTCTAAACCAGAGGACTGTTCACGTAGAGAAAGTTGTTCTGTCCTTACCAAAACCCACTACCACTCAGGGTCACATTTGTGAGCAGCTGGGAGTCATAAAATCCTCAGTTACAGACTAAAACTCAGAATCTAAAACTGTGGTATCTTGCTGGTGAAATATAACCTCACCTAAACCTGATTTTGCCTTCTGCAGTGAAAGGATTTCCTTTCCCAGCAATGAAATGAATGTTTCTGTGTTCTCCAGGTATTTTCCTGACAAGTGGTCACACCTGGAAGCAACAGAGACGCTTTGTCATGACAATTGTAAGAAGCCTGGCACTCGGAAAGAACAATTTGGAGCATCAAATTCAAACAGAGGCCTGTCGCCTTGTGGACACCTTTGCAAATACAAAAGGTAAATTCATTAGAACAACAACACTTAGAACTTTTTTCTGAAATATTAGGGGTGGTAAAAGTTTCACGATACATTTTTATAAATAATATAGATATTTTTTATAGTAGTAGGACTTTTACTGGCTTAACTGCATTCTTTGCAAAAAATGTTTTGTCTGCACAGTGGGCAATATAAAATTGTTTTTTAAAATAAGGTTAGTTAAATAAATATTTGTTATCAACACAGTCTTGGGGACAGCTGGTAGCAATTCTTACATTCAAGGAATATAGAAAAATCCTATGTTTTCCTCCATAAAATACGCATTGTGTGACCTGCTGCGAGTCATTTTAGGACAGCAAACTTTTAGGATTTGGCAGAGAAAGAACCCCAACACAAGGAATGTATCATTCAGTTGTCCAATAAAACTTTTTTTTTAGGTTTGGATGAAATAGAAACCAATAGAATTTTAGCAAGATGCCAAAATAAAGCAATTAAATATAAATATTCTGAACAGCCAAATCCCTCACCCACATTGTGTTCCATACTGATGTGAAAACACAGAGAGGTTGCCTGAGGTCTCTCTCCAACTCTCCTTGGACCAGACCCATCTCTCTTCCAAGAGCAACATATTCACACATCTTTCAAATGTAGGAGATTAAAAACCATCTACTCCGAGTCCCTGTACAGACCAAATCCTTACTTTCCATGCAATTCTTCCTCAATTTCAAACTCAATAAATGTATTTAGTCTTTCCAAGAATGACCAAAAGCCTGAAGTCAGGGATGTATTTTCCATAGGAGTATAATTCAAAGGTTGTCCCTGCCAATGAAATATGTACTTAAGTTTATGATTTCTGGATTTAATACTTTTTAATGGGAGCCATTTTCCATCCCATTACATGAGCTTTGCCTTTTCAGTCTGTGGGAAAATATATATATATATGGTTGAATTGTCAAGCTGTTACTCAAAAACCAAAAGGAGATAAGTCATTTCAACACGACTAAGAAAATAAAACCATAAAGTTTTTTTTTTCTGTTTTTTGGAGGAGAGGGAATATTTGTTTTGTTTTTCAATTGCCAAACTTAAATATCTGCCTCCAGATTTGAAGGCATATGTTCTAATTAATTGCTTGTGTTTCCACATAACCCAGACCCCAAGTCAAAGAAGGGAAAAGAGACCTAATGTTTGTCTTCTCAAAACTGATAATCACTGTATTTTACAAGAGTAAAGAGCAGCTTGAAAATTAAGATTCCCTGCATTTACAATTCACACAGTTAATATGTATTAAACCAGGGTTCACTTGTGTGAAATTTATGTAAAAGTAGTTTGATCCCCTATTATTTTTACCATTAAAAAAAAAGTCTTCCTCATTTCTTTTTCTGTATTCTATTCAGAAGTACTCACAGTACCTCCTGTATTCACAGGCAAACCTTTTGACCCCCACACTTCCATCGTCCATGCCATTGCAAATATCATTTGTGCTGTTGTTTTCGGTCATCGCTTCTCCAGTGAGGATGAATCTTTCAGGAAACTTATCAAAGCTATTTATTTTGTGATCTTCTTTCAAGCTACTATCTGGGGCAGGGTAAGAATTTGATTTTCTTGTTCTTATTCCTTTAACTGCATTTGCACTTGACAAGTCAAAACAATGTGACAATTGTTCCCAAACGTCTCCACACCACTGTTCCATGAGCCATCGTGAAGTAATAAATGAATACATACCTTGTATATGTTACTACTGCCTTATAATCCTTCACATCTGTAAATCACATGATCTAGAATTTAAATTTTAGGACATCACTGGTTTTCACAGATTTCCAATAAGTAATCATTTGCAGAATAGTGGGTATGTAAGATTCCTAATTCTTAAAATGAAAGCAACTTCTAAAATTTAATTTTTGTTTAGTATTGCAAATACAGAATTGCAGTTAATAAGAACTAAGGCTTCAAAGTCCTGTTTTTTTGAGAATATATCTTGCTTCTCATATAATTCATATTACCACCAAGACCTGAGTTATTATGAGCTTCCTATAAAATACAGGCTACAATCTCATCACATCAAGAATAATATTTTTAGGTTCTTAGAAGCCTATCTATTGCTTATGTCGTGCAGATTTTGGCACACTGACTTTCCTTAACATTATCAGCTTCTCCATAAAGAGCTATCTTTAAAAAAATACTGTAAAATAAAATCAGGGTTGAGAAAATCTGTCTGGCAGATTCAGCCCTCAATTACTCCTATTCACCAATTTTCAGAACCTCTGTTGCATTTTTAGGTATTCATCCAAAAAGCAAAATATAATCACGTTCCCATATGAGGCAGTGACTTCACAGAGTTATCAGGAAATCAGAATTCAGTTTAAAAGAGCTCACATTCCTTTCTTTCTGTCTACAACCACAGCTGTATGATGCTTTCCCATGCCTTATGCACCGTCTCCCAGGGCCTCATCAGAAAGTGTTTGCATACAATGACTTCATGCACAGTTTAGTCATGAAGGAGGTCCAGGCCTGTGAGAGAGAGAAGGCAGGTGATCCACAGCATCTCATTGACTTCTACCTAGCTCAAATAACAAAAGTAAGTATCTGTTTATCACCCTCCTTGGCCTCAATGCCTACTACGAACACTTGGTTCCAGTAACTGCCAAGGAACTTTTACATGCACACTTTATTTGTGTAGCACTGAAGATGTCTGTTCTGGTGGGCAGCTCACTGTTTTCATAAAACAATGACAATTTCTACATGACTGATGAAATGTATGAAATCATCCACTTCATACTCTTCTTGTGAATATACCCTACAGACCAAAGATGACCCTACTTCTACGTTCAATAAAGACAATATGGTTCAGACTGTGGTTGATCTTTTGCTGGGAGGGACAGAAACAACAAGCACCACCCTTCTCTGGGCATTGCTCTATATGGTACAACATCCAGAAATACAAGGTGAGCAAAATCATTATCAGAGAGAACTGCAGTCAACATCATAATGAACATTATTAGTGTAAGTGTTAGCTCAATCACTTCCAATACATCAAAATAACACTTAAATAGGAATATGAATGGTGGTACATCAACAACTGAGATCTGGAAGATGGAAAGTTAATAAAGGAAACAAACAGGTGCTTTTCCCTCCAGTTCACCAGCAACATTACCAAAAATTGGTGGTAGCCACTGTTTTATCTCATGAAAAGAGGGGTTGGCAAGACAGAATAACAAGTTAAAGACATTTCACATGCAATCTAGCCTCCTCCTAACCTTCAGAGTGGAAAAGCTTTTAAAAGATACCTGGTCTGATGTGTATTTAAAAACAGAAATTACATCTGTAATTTCAAACTTTAATCTTTTTTTTGAAACATAGAACTGTATTACGCTCATCACCAAGTAGGATGTGTCATCCTGTGCTTTAGGGATATGCACTTCCTTGATGAACTGAAACCAATACACCAGTCAAACCACCTGCCAATGTATTTCATAGCAACATAATTTCTTTTATTTCCCCGGTCCTGGACATCCTCATACAAAAATCTGCAGGATAAAAAAAGGGGGGAAAAAAAGTTTAAGTATTTTCATTTCTCTCTCTGCAGAAAAGGTTCAGAGAGAGATAGACGATGTTGTGGAACCCTCCCATCCCATCAGCTACGAGGACCGTAAGAAGCTGCCGTACACCAACGCGGTGATTCACGAGGCTTTGCGGTACAGCAACGTTACCTCTGTCGGGGTCCCCCGACAATGCGTGAGGAGCACAACTCTGCTGGGCTTTCACATAAAAAAGGTACAGAGTTTCATGTTTCTGTCCATGTTGTCCATGTTTCTTAAAGCTTTGAGGTATTAATATTCAGTATTTATATGACATGAGCTTCTACAGTTCCTAACTGCGCAGAGAATGTGGCAACATGTCACAGACATGAAGTGTGAAGAGTGCAAAAACCAAACAGGAAGGTGTTATGATTACCCTGGCAAGCACATAAAACAATCCAAGCTCCAGCTTGGAGTAGCACTGACAGAAGATAACAAACACACAACAGGTTATGACAAACAGAAAGTACAAGGGGATGTGCACTTGTAAAAAGGCCAAGTTGAATCCAAACATGGGGCTGCAGGCATGGGATGGCAGACTATCTATTAGAGAGAAAGAAAATAAAAAAAAATAATCAATCATACATGAAAAATACAAACTCTGCTGCTTCTTACAGGGCACACTTGTATTGCCAAATCTGCACTCTGTGGTGTATGACTCCGAGCACTGGGCAACCCCCTGGAAGTTCAACCCAGATCATTTCCTTGATTTGGATGGCAACTTTGTGAACAAAGAGGCATTCTTACCTTTCTCAGCAGGTAACACTCTGACCTTGAATATTTCTGTTTTCTGTGTCTTGTAGAGCAAGATTAGAAACACTATTTCTAAGTTCTAAAATTTTAAAAACATGCCTTTATAAAAATGTATTTGGCACAAAGATTAAAGTCAGGTTTTCTGCTCTGTAAGAGCTACAAATGTTGTCTTGCATTTTGTAATTTTGATACATTCAAACAGAGGATGAGTGTGGCCAGGAGACACAATACTCTCCTTGGCATATGTACAACTCCTACTATAAGGGTATCTGAGCTTCTTAGTTCCTGATGTGTTAAATCAAGGTAACACCCTCAAATCAGAAAATTGATTTATTTTCACCTTACAAACAGAAAGCCCAGTGATAAAAGCATACGATTTTTCAAAATATACAGAGAAAATGTGTGATAAAGCAGGAAACCAAACCTCACTCTCCCAAATCCTACAGTTATAGTCTAGCATCAGGTGTCTAAATTGCCCATAAATCCTAAATTCATCTTTGTAAAACAGGTACATAGCATCTTACCTCCTGAACTCACCGAATACCTGTGGTTCACATCAATCAAGACACCTAATTTGGACTACCATTTCAAACCAGGCATAGGAAGATTTCTTTTTTAACTTGCCTTGGTTGTTTTCTGTTTATATAATTTTTTATATATCCTGAATATCTGTTTTTTGGGTTTTTTTAGTCTGGAATAGATAGATATCCTGACATATACTGTGAAAACAACGTGCCAAAATGAGTCACTGAGTCTGTACATCACCACACATGCCACTGTACATTTCACTCCCTTAGCTCACAGATCTGTTCCTGACAGCGTTAGCGATTGTGGGCTACAAGGACCCTATATACCCTTCTGAATTTCTGTTGAAGAAAGCCTGATTACATCCCTCTCCTTGGCTTCAGAACTGCATCTTGCAATGCTCCAGTCCTCCCTCCTCAACAACCAAAGATAAGACTCTCAAGCATATGAAACTTTTTAAAATCTTGCTTAATGGAGAAGCAATTTATGGTTCTCACACAACAAGTAGCAAAAATGAAAAGGAAGAATCTTATACATGCTCCAGAGGTAAAAAAAAAAAAACCAAACAAAACCAATTAAAACACCAAATGAAACACTTGACACACAGTTTCTCAGTTAAATGTTTCTCCCACCTCCAAAAGCATCTTCTGCCCTTACAGAGGAAATAGAATTTATGGAACTAAGTAGAATTTTGTGTGAAGTCCTTTTACAGAACTTTATACAACTAACTCTTTATGTTTTCTGTCTGCAGGGCACCGTGTGTGTTTGGGGGAACAGATGGCACGGATTGAACTGTTCATCTTCTTTACCAACCTCCTTCGGGCATTTACATTCCAGCTGCCTGAGGGAGTAAAGGAAATCAGTTCGGAGTATGTTTTGGGTGCAATACTGCAGCCTCATCCATATAAACTCTGTGCTATTCCACGCTAGTCTGCAACATACTACAATGCAGAGGCACTTCAACCTGTCAATAATTGCAGATGCTTTAAAAATACACACCACTATCTCAACTGCATTCAAATATAGGTAGCTCAGTACAGCAAATTAATCAAGTGTTTTTGTTCAGGAGGTCTGACTTCAAGTACTGAACTTTTTTAAATAAGTGTACTCGCCAAAGCTCATATAATTGTGTCTTAGGCATATACAAGTACACAATAATACATTTCAGAAAAAAATGTATTTTCACACTCACAGTAACAATGACTTAGATGTAGGATTTTAGAGAAGTGAACTGTATCAAGCAGTTTCCTGCATATGTGCTCTGTCAGGTATCACACTCCTAAAATTTCCAGTAAGCTGTTACTCCTCTGAGTTCACAGGTCTTTTCATACATCTTCTTGCAGAAGGTAACAGAGGACACACACTTAGTTATTGATTCCTTTTCCTTTCACACTCCCATAAGCATTATATAGTGTAGCATAAACTTCACACAGGCACAGATGACTCCAGAATGGGGCCTCTCATTACCACGGTCCATTTAGAAATCCTTACACCTGTTTTTACTTCCTCAGTATCCAATTCCTATGTTATCACAACTCAAGGCCCTGTGCTTTCATGAAACATTCCTTCTTCTGTTTATAAATACTATTGTATGATCCAATAATTTCCTATGTGAAAAAGACCAGCCTTTCAAGAAATTAAGAAAATAAATGAAAATGTCAACATTTGTTAAAGCAAGCATGGTACTGATTTATTACTCAGGGTGTTTTCTTCTCTTCTTTCTCTACATAAATAGATGTGGAAGGTTTTGAGCATTTAAAATTCAGCTGCAAGCATCCTGAAAGCTTTCAGTTTTCAAAGTTCAACAGGAGCCAGCATAAACTATGGCAGGATATAGTTAAAAGCAGAAGTAGAATATTACATATTTCTCAGACATAAAACTAATGGAAGACTTGATTCTCCTCTCAAATATTTCCAATTTTCAATATTTCTAAACATATTCCCTTCCATTTGGTGAAAACTCCAGGTTTCTAACACATTGCAAAGCTTCCTACCGCAGAACAAATGCAAACTCAACATCACTGACATTTTAATAAAAGCCATTTTACTTTATTTTTATTGAGGAAAATATAACATTTAAAAAATCCTGCTTGAATAAGAAATACTTTCAATCATAAATTAAGAAAAATCTCTTAAACTTGATATTTCTTACAGTGAGGGCAGATCCTGCATAAAACACATTCTTAGAGATTTACAAAAGCAGTCTGACAAGATAGTTCAAAAGTTTTCAAGTCCTATCTTCTTCTTTTCTGGTGCTCATTAAAGAAAAACTCACCAAAAAATCTCTCCTTTCAACACACCATTTGCATGGTTCCATAAAGGGCCTGAGGTAAAGTGCTCAGCAGCAGGACTGGCAGTGTCAGATACAAGCCTGGACTTTCTTTACTCCAGTGTATTTTGATGGTTCTTGAGGTATGTCCTACCTGAAAAAAAGACTCCAGTTTTTTCTCCATGTTTACCCCTTCAGTCACCTGAATTTATTCCGCCAGGCTGATAACTTTTTTCCACAAAATTCTACATTGTAATCATAGAATGGTTGTAGTTGGAAGGGACTTTAAACATCATCTTGTTCAAACCTTCCACCAGACCAGGTTGCTCAGGGCTCCATCCAACCTGGCATTGCACATATGTTTCTTCCAAAACTGTAGCTTGGGTTAAAACATGCACATATTCTTCACCTGCATTTCTGAAGAACTGAGGTACGTTATAATTTGCTGTACAATTCTCGTTCTAAAAACAGGGGAAGAACAAATATTCAGAGAGTACATGATTAAAGGAGGTATTTTTACTAAGAAGTCATCGTAGTCCTGACAGTTGGTACCAGTGACAAACAGTTGGGCTACAGGCATCTTCCTGTTATTTCATTTAAAACCAAGAACAGCAAGAGGTGAGGCATCCCTTGGCTTTCTGATGTTCCTTGAAACGACAGTGTGAGAATTCCACGTTACCTTTTCATCACAGTTGTAAAGGAAATCTATAAGAAAACGAGCAATACAGAAAAAAAAGCTATTTCATGAGCCTTTTTTTGGCAAGAAGGAATTCATAAGGATCTAAAGTGAAGCAGAAACAAGAAATACTTGGAAATTAAGGACAAAATGCAAGCTTTTCCTGTGAAACATTGTTTAAAAAAATCTTAATCATAAATCCCATCACTTCACTAATGAGAAAACACAGTCAAAATTCTAGAAAAATACACTGACATCCAGCTCTGCTGTTGTTATGTATCCCTTAGAAATCACTAGCCTCACTCCTGAGGGATCTAGGCAGTCTGCCTCACTGAGGAGTTAAACCCCCAAAAGCATGGAATGATTTCCAAAGTCCAGTCTTTAGAAAAGCCCATGTTGTTCAAGATTAGATTCAGACATTAATTTCTACCACTGATATTAAAACTATAACTGCAATTTCCAGATTCTTGGAGCTTTCAAGTCCTTAAGAATCTAAACTGTTTGTTCCCTTGATTCTGTTTTCAAGGAATACAAGAAACATATCTTGCCATAGATTCCTTCTGATATAATGGCCTTGCAATGTTTTATTTCCAAAACAACAGAAAAAAAGGACTGTCATTACATACTTCAGCTCCTAAATACTAAAATAAAAAGAACCATGTGGAAAGTACACACAGGTCTGTGATCATTTTTGGGAAGCACACAAAATCCATACTGGTTTTGCGGTTTTAAGGACAAAATGTAACAACTGGTCAACATGACCCAGACTAAGAAAATGAGTAAGCCAGTTCTAACTGTGGGTGAAGAGTTTTTCCTACAATTTTTGTTTTGTTTAAACCTCAAAAGGAAAGACCCAAGTATCTAGATGGTCTTATTCCAACTAATAAGCAGAGTATTATCAAAGGCATGCTTTGATCCACCATTCAAATCAGGTATCTTTAAACAATTGTTAAAATACATTCAAAGTTCTCCTCTCCGCATATTGCAAGTATTAGTTACTCAGCATTCACAAATAACCTTTCAATATTACATGTCTATCTAATCAAGCAAAACACAAAGCCCAAGTATGAAATAGCTGGCATGAACTTGATCAGCACAGCTTGCACACCAGGAAGGATTACAATGTTAGGATGCTATATGGGCTGGCTGTAAGGAAACAAATAAAAAAACTAAACTCTAGAGTGATGAAAGCTAATATTTGAATTGCCTGTTTGATCTTCTCTTTTTGCTGTGCTTTCTTAAGCCTTTACAACACTACAATGCCATTAAATTTCAAAATCACAATACGTAGGATACCAAATCAATATCAAAGCCAATCAGATGGAGGAAGGATACGATATAAAATTAAAACAAGCAGATCTACGGTGACACCAAGAATGAATATATCAAAACATATCCATCAAAATGTGTCACTTACCTCTTGCAATACTTGTCCAAGTGTCTCCTGGCTCTGAATGCGCTTCCTGTTGAAAACCCAAACCACACTTATTTTTGCACAAAGCATTGAGGAATCTTGTAAATACCAATTATTTATCCCACTTCCAAAAGAGAAGACTGTTATATCAGGCTTTGTTCCACATCCTTTCCCTTATGGAATCTTAATGCAATTCTATAGAATCTTACCACAATCTTATGGAAGCTACAAACTCAGATGCAGACCTGTTGTTATTCACATCAGGAAGAACTACTCGGAGTAAAGTTGGCTACTCATCGCATTTTCTCAAAAATAACCCTGATTATTAAAAAGCTCAGTTAAATTTCAGCATAACTCCTAACATCCACATATAGCTGGTAATAAGTTGCTTTAGTGCCATCTTCTCCAGCACTAGACACCATTTATTCAGCAAGTGATGCAAGAAGATTTAACAAATACTTAAATTTTTTTAGTCATTCTTCCAACATAACCAAAGTGATAAGCAGAGCATGTAAACACACAACAGCAAAACCAAGACTTTTAAAAAAAAATTGCATCAAGTGAGAACACATTACTACAGTTATTGTTTCCAGCCTGGAGAAGAGGAGGCTCAGGGGAGACCTCATCACTCTCTACAACTACCTGACAGGAGGTTGTAGCCAGATGGGCGTTGGTCTCTTCTCCCAGGCAACCAGCAGTAGGACAAGAGGGCACAGTCTTAAACTGTGCCAGGGGAGGTTTAGGTTGAATATTTGGAAGGACTTTTTTACAGAGAGTAATCACACACTGGAATGAGCTGCCCAGGGAGGTGGTGGATTCACCATCCCTGGAGGATTTTAAGATGAGACTGGATGTGGCACTGAGTGCCATGGTCTGGTAACCATGACAGTGTTGGATCAAGGGTTAGACTTGAGGATCTCAGAGGTCTTTTCCAAACTGGTTGATTCTATGATTCAAACATCCTGTAATACATGAATGAAAAAGACTAGAAATGCAAATAGAAGACAACATAACTTTACCTGTCTATTTTGGTTGCTATGACCACTGTAAAATTGCCTTCGGTATTGGGCAAGTATGTAGAAGGTATAATGACATAGCGTCCTGCAGGGAGCCTGCAGAGTCGGCTCACTTCCTGCGAATAGCAATGAGGAACACAGCTCACCAGTGGCTCCAGGTGTAGAAAAGAAGTAGTTTGTGGTTTCCAGCTGCTGTTAGGCACCTGCAAAAAAGAATACATGCCTACTTTTTCATCTATTTTAGATTTCACAATGTTTCATTCCTAGGACACCACAGCATGGTATGGCCTATCTCTATTCCACTCCAGATACTCACTTTGCTGTACAGAGCTAGAGAGAAGAAGGATGGGAAGGCTTCCAGAAAACCCAGATGGCAGTATTAAATACAGATGAATCATTCCAAGCATGTTTATAGACAATTTATGCAACCCACTACTCACACAGCTCTAAAGCTTTCTCTGTTGTCTAACCTCACTCTTCCCTGCATAAGTATCCTAATGCACTTATTTTTCACCTCATGAATTTGGTGAACATACTGTGTCCTTTCTCATTCTAGTGGCCTTTCCTGTACTAAAAATTCATATTAGACTTCACCTCAGTCTCCTAAAAGCATAAAAAAATGCTAATCTTTCTTCGCATATTGTATATTTGAAGCTTTGTGATCACTTCT